TCAGTGCCACGTGTCCATCACGTGTGAGCTACGCGTGGGAACATGTGTACTTTGGATAAGATCTTTTGAAACTTTAATACATAACCAATCTGACTGTTTTCGGAGGATCACAAGGAAATGTTACGTCAAGGATTCGTGATGTAATAGAATCAGTTGCAGGTGATCCCGGCTCTGGGGAACAAAAAGTCAGAATATGAAACGCCTGTTTTTTTCAAAAAAAATTTAATGCGTGAAGGATCATGGTGTATATTATGGAACCCGTTGTCGGCTAAGGTTGGATCGTAGGATTAAATTTGATTGGAGATTGATTCTTTGTACTTAATCTAGCTTTTAATTGAAGACTCCAATGAAGTATGGTTAATAGGACAAACTACAATCATTCCTTCATCCATTTGGCGCATGGGATCATGTTTTGGAGGCTGACATTGTTGTATCTTGCTGTTCATTCATTTGTTTCATGTTCAATTTTATTTTTTAAATTAAGTTGAATAATTTTTAAAAAAATTTTATATTATTTAAAAAATTTAAACAAATTTTTATTTTTTTATTATTTTTAATTAATTTTTTATATTTTTATTTTAAATTAAATACATGTTAAATCAAATACGATTTCATAACTAACGGTTGACTAATTATCATTACTCATGTCATCATATCATATTATTATTTACTACATATATCAAAATATCATATTCGGAGCTAGAACATTTTTAAAAAGAGGTAAATAGAATAAGACATTAAACAGTGAAAGAAAACTTTATATATAATTCAATTCTCACTCATTTAAAAGATTAAATAAAATTCATAAGATATTAGACATATTAAAAAATGCTCATTAACAGTATTGATGATGAACAAAACTATGAAAGAAATTTCTCACTCTATACAAGTAAGAGTAAAAGAAAAAATAATTTTTTAAATTTAAAAAAATTTTCTTTTTACTTCATGTGTTTTATACAAAATCGGTAACTTTCTGTGAAAACTTTTCTCTTATTTTTTATTTACGTCTTAAATTGCTAATTAATATATTGAGATATTAGGTTAAATTATTGAGATATAATATATTATGATAAATTATTAAGTTGAATTATTAAGATATAATATGTTATGATAAGTATAGATTTATATTAAAACTTAATGGGTTTGAATTAGTAAACTCACTTTTATTTTTTTTAATTTAATAGGCTTAACATATTAAGTTAAAATTTATTTGTTCAACTTAACTGGCAATATGCGAACTATAATGATTCTAATTTCATTAAAATGGTTTGAGGAATAAAAATAATTATTAAATAAAAAAATATTTTGAGGGTTATTCAAAATATATATAATAAATAAAATTATATTGAAAGAAATATAATTATTTTATTTTATAAATATGTATGCTTATCTTTATTATTTAAAGTTTGCAACATACATGGCAAAACACATTTGTTATTCTAAATAAAAAAAATGAGGTATTGATGAAATTCTAAGTAATAGTGTAATCTTGTAACTTATATTTGATAATTATATAATTATTTATTAATTTTTAAAGATTAAAATCATAGAAAATAAAATCTACATAATAGAAAAAAAAGCATGGCAAGTAGAAAATAAAACGCACATATGACGTAATAAAAAAATATGATTAATGGTTCGTAGAACTTTGTAAAAGAAAATATATAGAGATTTAAAATATATATAAGTAAATAGAATAGAAATGAAAAAAGTAAAAAAATAAAAAAACTTTAAAATTGAATGAGACCTATGGAATCATTTTGTTATTCTTTATTTGTATTAATTATTAAATAAAAAATTATTTTGAAGCCATTAAAAGAATTTATAAAAAAATTTAAAATTTTATATAGTATGGAAAAAATTTTAAAAATTTTGAAGAGCCATGGCTCTCCCATCTCTTAACGTACGCTCCACCCCTGATCACGTGAACAATGGTTGATATAAAATAAAAAATAATATTTTGATTACTAAAAGTTTATTTTATTTAAAATAAAAAATAAAAAATTAATTAAATATAATAAAAAATTATTTTAAATTTGTTAAAATAATTCAACAACTATTTTAGACATTATAATTCGAATTTACAACTTAGCTTTGGACCAAAAACAATATCTACTTACTAATTAAATTATTCTTTAACCATTCTTTGTATAATTACGCTCACATTACTCAAATAGTGTATAATTTGCTTTAGAAAAAAAAAAAACAAGGGAAAAATGAGAGCGTTGCTTAACGCATAAGATTATGGCCTTGTTTGCCGACGCCGCATATACTGTCAGATAGTGACATTTTACATTATTATTAATTTTCTCTATCCATCTACTCCATTTGTGAAAAACATTGTTTGCATGAATTACGCAAACAGCGTCAACAAGTTGAATCGAAAACGACACAAATGAAAAAAACACTTTTTAATAAAAATAAAATAAAAATGGTTCATTTTACTTTTTGGATAAAGTATTAGGACCCACACATTAATAAATATATATGGTACAATTGTCTCAAACACGTGTTAATCAAGTTCAAGAAGATTTTTGTAAAGGTGATAACAACAAACATCATTAATAAAAGTAAAAGTAATTCACTATTATTAACTTGTATAAAATTAGGAGCTTAATGTGATATTATTGGGTTAAATATTCAAATCTTAGCATATTTAAATTTAATTTTGATATTGTATAATAATGATTGAAATAGTCTTTTAAATTATTACCAAAAATTTAAATAAATCATTATTTTTTATTACGTTTAAGTAATTTTATCTATTTTCATTTTAGGTCAAATAAGCTATTATAATTAATGGTTGATTAATTGTTATTGGTCAAAATATTGATCAAATTATCCAAAAAGTCCATGTACTATAACATTTCTTTCAATTTAGTCTTTCTATCCAAAAACTAATTAATTTAGCCTATGTATTTTGGCATTGTGTGCAATTGGATCTTTATGAGTAATTCTATCCAAATTAACTGTTAACTATACACTGATGTAACACTGATGTGTGAGATAAAATAATTTTTTTGAAAAAAACAATTTCGCCATACCAAGTTTTTTAGGCAATGTCATAAGTTCAAATTACACAAAATAGTAAAGTATAAGGATTAAATTGTTCAAAACTTTGTAGTACAAGGAATAAATTGAACATAACTTTATAATATAAGGACTAATTCTTTGATACTCTTACCATTTTTTATTTCCCATTACCTATGGGAATGCTGGTCTTCCTTATAAGAGGAGATGGTATAATAAAGTGTATGAATATCATGAAACATTATAGTTGAATGCAGTTTTTGTTTATAATATGAAACATTTTAGTTGAATGCAATTCTTGCTTGTAATATGAAACCTTGTTATATTTTGATTTGTTGATCTATTTATGCAATCCAAGAAAAAATATATCATAAAATGGTATCATTGTTTTAACTTCGCAACTGTAATGTGAAACAAAAAATTATAAAAGTATCCAAGAAGTCCTTGTATTATAAAGTTTTATTCAACTCGGTCCTTGTACTAAAGGGTTTTGCTCAATTCAGTCCCTGTATTATGTTATTTGGTATAATTTAGTTGTTCTAATGTGAAATAGAAAAATTGAAGTGGTGAAATTTTTTTTCCTAATTTTTTTATTTAACATGTTAGTGCCACATTAGCATGGTTAATGGCCAATTTGGATGGAGTTATTCATAAGAACTCATTTTCACATAATGTCAAAGTACATGGACTAACTTAACTAGTTTTTGGGTAAAGAGACTAAATTAAAGAAAATGTTATAGTATATGGGTTTCCTAGGTAATTTAATCTCAAAATGTCATTAGTCATTTTTATGTCCACATGACACTGACATGGAGGGTGAAAAATGACACATGATCAAATTTTTATGTTATTTTAGCATGTCATGTCATCATCTATTATGACATGTCATAATAC